CTGCTTCAGGAGACAAGATATAAAGTTTATGCTGTTCAGAAATAAAAGGACTTGAAACAGATGAGAGAATTTTTGGGATAAAACGTTTTTTACAGGATCTAAATTCTCTATATACAAGTCTTTAAAGGGCCCAGAAAGACAGTAATTATTATAAGATAAAGACCAAGAGACATTTAAACAGCTAAAACTAACACTGCTGGCCCCTGTATCAGGGATCCTAAATGTGACCCAGCCTTTTAGTTTTTTACCTGACTAAAAGAAATCATACTGCTTTAAGAGTGCTCATTGAAGGAGTAGGTCCATAGAAAGAGCCAGTGATGTATTTATTTTAGAGTTTAGATCCAGCAGTGAAGAGATAGTTCCCTTGTTTATAAAGCCCTGGAAGCTGCAGTAATGCTAATTGAGGAAACTGACCAGATAACATTAGAAAAAAATAAATTATTCGGTTTCCCCATGCCTATTAGAACTATTCAATAACAGGACATTGATAGCTCTCACATAATAGAGTCACATAATATCAGGCACTCATCTGTGAGAATCCCCACTTATATTTTGCTCCAGTTAAAACCTTAAACACTGCTACTTTTTTGCCCATGGAACCTGGCCCACTGACCACAACTGCCTCAGGGTCACTGAGGAATTGTTCTCCAGTCATCTACATCTGTAGAAAGACCCGCTGCCTGAGCCTGATTCTATCCTGTTCAGGGATGAGAGCCCCTTCATGGAAAATTCGATACACTATGCTGGCTGTGTAGAGATGATTGAAGATAAAGTGGTCCAAGCAGGACCTCTCGCTACTGGATGGTCAACTCAATGAGCAGAACTATGGGCACTCATACAGGCTCTCTGATGTGCAAAACAAAAGAGGGTAAATGTTTATACAGATTCCTGTTTGCCACTTGGTATATCTATGACACAGTCTATAAAAGTATGGTCTTCTCACAGCAGAGGGCAAACTTATTAAAAATAAACAAGATATAATGTAGTTATTTGAGGCAATGTGAAAACTTGAAAAAGTGGCTATAATAATTCAAGAAAGAAAAGATACAGTAACAAATGCCAATGCTAAGGTAGACAGATAAGCCAAAAGGGTAGCTAAAGAGAAACTTCAGATGATTATACCCACCCCCTTCAAAGGTTATAAATATGTATTAGTATGGGTTTGTACTTTTTCTGGATGGCCTGATGTATACAAGATTTTATTTTTAAAAAGTTCCAAGGATTGGTCTGCCTCTCTCCATAGACAGTGACAATGGGCCAGCATTTGTAACAGAGGTTATACAAGATCCAGCTAAACTGTTATACTACCTATTGACCGCAGAGTTCTTATAAGGTTAAAAATTATAAATTATAAGGTAAATATTGTCAGATAACACCAGGTTATGAATTGATCAGCTCCCTTTGGCCTTCTTTAAAATAAGAAATACCCAAGTCATACTGGGTTCTGCCCATATGAGGTCTTATTTGAAAGGCCACCCTATATCTTGAGAGACCTTATACAATTATCTCAACTGGGCTTATCCAGTATGGAATCACAGCTGTTAGAATTGGACAAATATTTCAAAATATTCAATGATAAATTAAAAATAAAGAGGACCTTTCTGTGCTAACTCTTGCCCATCTGATAAAACTGCAGGACTGAGTTTATGTTAAAATTTTAAAAAGGACCCCTTTCTGACCTATATAGAAAGGTCCATATGAGTCACTTATGGTTACTCCCACAGCTGTCAAGGTAGCTGAAGCTCAGCTACCACCACTCTAGAATAAAAAAGAATTCCACAGGTTCTGACACCAGGAGGCAATTCCCTCAAAGCCCTGCTCTCATCACACCAGAAGCTAGTGTGTCTATGCACTGCTCAAGAATGAAAACTACAATCAAGATACAGACTTTTATATTGTGTCAAACTGTTATGAGCTATTATGCTTCTAAATTAAGAATTTATGAGCCTACAGATGATAAAAATATGTGACCTTTATGTACTCTGGGGATCCTAATCCCAACGTAGCTGTCTAAGAGATGCCTTTACAAATTGCTATGATCCCTTAGCTAAAAATTTAAGTAAAATGATGAATCAAGGATTTGATCCTACCTAAAATCAGTGGGGATTGTAAGACTTGAATAAGCTAAAGTGACTCCATGCTAATAGGCCAGAAGCTGTGCTTCTTCATATGCTAACTGCTATCTTAGTTAACAGCCTGCCCAGGGGCAAATGGTATGAAAAAAGGTGATATTTCCTGCATAAGATAAGCAGTGTGTTTGGAATCTTGTCCTCTAGTAGTTCTGTGAATGCTCTGACCTATGTTTGAACTTTTTGTTTAGAAAAACCCTATAAAAAGCACCTCAGCCCCTGAGTAGTTGCCTCTCTGAGCTACCTGGCTCTGGGAGTGCCTTCTGGCCAGACTAATAAAGGTCTATTTACCATCTAGCCTGGTGAGTTCCTTCCTGGGTTTCTTGTTCCTCAGTGGAGCTCCCAGATCCTCACTGGGTTTTAGGAGCCAGCATCCTGGAGGCCTTTTCAGCAGTTCACGCTTGTGGAGTAGAAGTGAGACTTAGGTCTTACAAAATGATTTGAAATCAATATGTAAACTTGAGGGGCTTTCTTATTACCCTAGCAGCATTATCAATAGTAGCCAAGATATGGAATCAAATTATTTCCTGTAAGATAAATGTATTAATGAATCTCATGTATACACTCAATGTAACACTAATCAGGCATACAAAGACAGAAATCATGGGATTTGCAACAAAATGGTTGAGCTGTAGAACACTATGTTAAGAGAAACAAGACTAATATAGAAAGGCAAATAACATGTGAACTCACATATGGTATGTAAAAATGTCAAATTCATGAAAATACAGAGTTAAATGGTTATGAAAAAAGACTGTGGGTCAGGGGATTAAAGGACATAAAATTTGTCATGAAAAATAACTTGAAGAGATCTATTGTATATTGTGAGTTCACAACATTTAATTTTACATTTTAAAATCAATTCTGATAAGACACCTGACTCCAGAATGTACTAAGAAACATTGTAAATTAGCACCAAAAATATACTGCACACTGTTGCAAAATTGAAAATTCTTGAAGGGACATTTCTACACAGAAATATAAAAACTGCAAGCACTGGAAACCCTTCTTAATTAGTCACAGGGAAATGCAGATAGAAATCACAATGACATACCACTTTACACCCAATAGAAGGTTTTATTTATTTATTAACTTTATTGGTGTATTTTAGGTATACACTAAATTGACATTCATCATGGCAGTTTGTACCTTTACATGATGTATCTTGGTTCTTATTTTCCCTCATTTCCCTGCCCTTCATCAAACCCCTCCACCTCTTCCTATTTAGAAAGAATTTGTTTCCATTTTTTCATTTTGACATTTGTATTATTTTCCCTTCTTTCCTTTCCCCTAACCCTTCCACATCCCCTTCTTTTTTGAACCTTTTCTTCTTATTTCATATTATATATTCTACATTATTTTTGTACCAGTGATCAGACTCTGGACCTTGCACTTGTGAGACAGCTGGCAAAACCACTGAGCTAAACTCCCAGCCCTCTATTATACATTTTGTTCCTCATTTACACTTTCAGTTTCTCACACTAGTGAAACTATCTAGTAATTACATATGTGTCCTATTTATTTCACTTGACTATAGCTTGAGTGTACATCCATTTAGCTATAAATGCCTCTATTGTGTAAAAAAAGCAATTATGTTTTTTTAATATATATATAAAATATCAAGTACTGGCAAGTGTGGGAACATATTAGAAACTATTCATTATAATGTGAAATATTTTTGGATATTCAAGATGTTAAATATAAAATAACCTCATAATTCAGTAGTTTTTAACACTCTTAAATATATTCCTTAATAATTTGAAATAACCATATGTGTTTGCTACTTAACAACCAGGTTAGGTACTGAGAAAAATGTCACTAGTGATTTTTGTCATTTTTATGAATGTCATAGAGCATGGTTATACAAACAAAGATAATTAGGAATTTATTAAGTAATGCAATGTCACTGGACCACTGGAGCACATGCAGTTAGTCATTGACTAAAGCATTAATATGTAGTATGACTGTAATATAAAAAGAAATGTGAATGGCTGTGCATTATGGTATTATTCACATCATTGAAATATCCATCGATAGATGAATGGATAAACTCTGCATATATGTACTAGAATATTATTTATCCCTACAAGACATAGCATGTTTACATTACCAAATAAAAATGTCCAAAATATGAGGAAAAGAAAGAGAGTATAATGGAGGACATAAACACAGCAGAGAAGAAACAAAAAAGTGAAGAAGGAGGGGAAGGGAATAAAAGGACAAATGGGAAAGAAAGAAGGAAAAGAAAGGAATAGGGGAAAAAGATAAGATTTTTAAAGGCTACAACAATATATCTGAGTCAAACTGGGCATGATATCAATATGAAGCAATGAAAAAAATCTCACATGCAAAGACAGATTCCAGGTTTAATATTAAAAATATTAATATTTAAATATTTAAATCAAAGTAGGATAGCCAAAGTGAAGTTAGTCTTTCCATTCAGAAATTATGCAAATGAGAGAAAACATTACAAAGATACATTTTCAAAATTAATGAATTCATGCATGTAAACAACAAGCATGGTCTTGATATGGTAAGTACTTTGATAAATTTCATCCTAGTTAATCTGGAAAAATATGATGAATAACATTACCATTTGAGCACAATTGTTTTGGCAGAAAACATGTAAGCACTCCATATAAGTAATTAATCATGCTGGAAATTGAGGAATATCTGAGAAATCTAACTAAACTTGAAAATGTAGACACCATGCATAGGAAAGACACATATAAAGTGAACTACTGGGGGAGTTAAGGACAATGTACCAATGTTTTAAAACTTAAGGTGTTTTGGTCATACAAGAAATTAAGCACATCATTTAGGGGAGACAGAGTTAGGGTATTAAAATTCACACCTGGTGCCTTGGAGAATCTAACATGACCTGGGCCATGATGGACAAGAGGCTGCTCTGCTGAGAAGTTTCCCCAGGGCCCCCTTCACATCCTTGTTCCTCAGGCTGTAGATGAAGGGGTTCAGCATTGGAGTCACCACAGTGTACATCACAGAGGCGTACATGCTTGCCCGGGAAGAATGGGTCACGGCTGAACTGAGGTACACCCCGAGTGCTGTTCCATAGAACAAGGAGACCACACAGAGGTGAGACCCACAGGTAGAAAATGCTCTATACCTGCTTGTAGAGGAGGACATCCTCAGCAAGGAGGAGACAATCTTAGTGTAAGAGAAGAGAATCGCAGTCACAGGAAACACACCCAGAAGTGAAGCTACCACATAGAGAAAGATGTTAATGATGAATGTGTCAGAGCTCGCCACTTTAAGAACCTGAGCTAGTTCACAGACAAAATGAGGGATTTCTGTGTCTGTAGAGAAACTGATCTGCATCATTAGGAAAATTTGAATCACAGAGACACAGAAAATGATGACCCAGGGCACCAAAACCAGGAGGCTACAGAATCGGGGGTTCATAATAACTGTGTAGTTCAGGGGGTGACAGATGGCCACAAAGCGGTCATAGGCCATCACAGTGAGGAGAAGATCATCCATTGCAGAAAAAACCATTAAAAAATACACTTGAGTCAGGCACTCCCTGTAGGAGATGTCTTTGCTGTGTGCCTGGATGTTCACCAGCATCTTGGGAACTGAGGAAGAGATGAAACAGATGTCCACAAAAGACAAGTTGGAGAGGAAGAAGTACATAGGGGTGTGGAGGTGGGAATCGTAGTTGATGGCCAGGATGATGAGCAGGTTCCCAAGCAATGCAAACAGATAAATGGACAGGAACAGTCCAAAGAGAAGGGACTGCAATTCAGGATCCTCTGAGAGACCCAGGAGGAGGAAACATGATGCTCCACTCTGGTTTTTAGTTTCCATGTCACTGGTTTATCTTCAGGGGAAAAGGGGAATTGTGATATTCAATAAATACCCACCTGGACCCTTACTTAGCTTCCAATTTACAACATCACCTGTGGATGAGTGATCTTCACCATCTATCGTCTTCAGACAATGGCTGTTGTTCATCTAGAAATATCAGAGCTCATTTTCCTTTTAATGTGTACAATCATCATCATGACCTTTAATATAGCACAAATGTACACATTTTTACATCACTGACTCATGTCTTTTATTTTATCTAGAAACTAAATATCTTTCTTTAAATTTTTGGCTTCCTTATTTTATTTTCCCTTTTGTTTTCTTGAATTTATTGGCATAAACTCATTTCATTTGATACATCATCTAAAATAATTGAAGACTTTGTATTTCTTTTCATAATCACCTACCTCGTTATTTTAAAACTTTTATGACACTGATTAAACTTGGATTTATAACTCAAAGAACCTTTATTCTATGACTTGATATATCATAGTGATGTAAAAGTTAACTCTTGGTAACATATTTTTTTCACTCTAAAAATGTACAAGATCCCAAAGATCCCAAAGAAGAATGTAACTGTACTGTATACCTAAAAAGTACCAATAAACTCAATGAGAAAAAAAATTAAATACAAAAAATGTAGTAATTAATATTAAAGTTTGTGAGGCTTTGTTTTCAGTGAGGTTCAAAATAAATGATGAATCATTATTCCAATTATTATTATTATTATTATCATCATCATCCTTTTATTATAATATATAATTCTTCAAGGTACAGAATAGGGCTGTGATTTAATAATTGTGGCCTTGAGTCACACTTTCTCAATAAAATCTTGACCAATGAAACACATTTGTGACTCTGAGAAAGACATTCAAACTATTTTAACTCAAAACACATCTCTTCTCCAGCAGGAGTAATAATGTTCACTGCATGGTAGGCTGAATGCAAACATTGTCTTTTCATGAAAAGAGAAAAGGAAAAATATGAGAAGAGGAAAAAAATGGAAACAGTCTTTGTAAATAGGGAGGCGTGGAGGGGGTGAAGGGCAACCAAAATACATTGTGTAAGGGCACAAGATCTAGTCATGAATGTAAATGTACTATATACCTAAAAAATTGAAAATAAAATTAGTGAAAAAAGGGCTTCTCATGAATACAAATTTATTCTTCATATCTCAATAAATATGTTACAGATAGCTATCACTTAGCATTATCTAACAATATCTTAATAATATCTGTGGTTTCCATGATCTATAAAAGTCTAATAATTACAATTATGGAAGCCTTTTTACTCCTTTTTACTGCTATATAACATTTCATATTAACAAACCTCACTATGTATCTTTCTTTCACAAAATTGCTTTTCAGCATACTCTGCCAAGTCTAGGAGAAACCATGTGGATGGATTACAAAAAAGGAAGAATAAAACACTGTAGCATTAAAATAAAATACATTTATGTATCAGTGTGTTCATGTTTGGGGGTACTGGAATAAATATGTTAAAAGAACAATTAATAGCTAATGATTGCATTGATGGACTTGATTTAAAATATTCAAGAATAGTACAAATAAAATCATCCTATAAGGATTAAAAGTTGGAAAAAAACTTGTAAAACTTAGTGTTCTGCGTGGCCTAAAAGGTATTATGAAAGTTTAGGAATTATTAACTAATTCAAGACAGAAAAATATTATTGGGTACCAACCAGCGATCAAACTCAGGAACTTGTACTTATGAGGTAGGCAGTGGAACTACTGAGCTAAATCCCCAGACAACCAGTTTAATCTTTGATGATACATAGAAGAGTTCTCTCTGAAACAGAAAACCTGGAGCTAAATTCAGAAAATATGAATCACTGTCAATCAGAAAAGAAAGAGGGAAAAAGAAACCTTCTAGACTGAGAGAACAGCATATACACATTCCATTTCAGATACTGAGCTAGGTATAAGAGGGAAATTTTGCTGTTTATTTGCAGTGTTGATGGCATGAGAGTTTGGACTCCACATTTGTCTTACTGGGGACTTACAGAGTTCTGGTTACTTTGTAGGCTTGCACAAGGACATATTTTTTTTTATACTAAATACCACTACCAACATAAGTACTTAGTATAACACAAAATGGAAATATTCAAGCTCATTAGAAGGCTTACTATAGACCCAAGTACAGCAAAGTTAAGTAAAAGAACTCAAATTTATTTTTATAAGAATAACACATTTAGAACATGGAATGCCATTTCTAAGAATGAACACACAGGCTTAACATAATGATGTTGGTTAACATAATTCATCACAAAAAAGGTCAATAATGTAAATCCTAACTAGAATCACAATTAAAAATGTGTTTGAGAAAATTTGTTAGGCATTTACCTGTTAGCCTCCAGGCTAGAGACTATATATAAGCAGAAGAAAGCAAAGACGTGTTGCAATTCAATAAAGAACAATTATTTTCAAAACATAGCCCAAATGAGACATTACATTTAAACACTAGAACATATGTGTTAAATACATGAAAATATTAAGGGTGATTCTCTAAATTTAATAGTCAATATTTTTATGTGCCAGTAAAGAGATTGATAATATGGCAAGAAGAAGTTGGAGATTTAGCTCAGTAGTGCTGTGCCTATCCTGAAGTGCAAGTTCATAAGTTCAATCCCCAGCACCCCAAGAAAAGAGAGAGAGAGAAACTTGATTTTTAAACATCAGAAATAATTACATAATTGGCAAATGCTATTGTGGACACTAGGATGAAATGATACCTGCAATATGGTGTGAACAGGGCTTATAAAGAAGTAACCTATCTGTAAAATTAGGGAATATAGTAGAAAAGAACTCTCATTAAATTGGAGGAAATTTGGTTATACCTTAAGGATACTAGATTTTCAGTAAGTTGATAAATACCTAGTTTGGTGCAAGAAACATAGCAGTAGGCTACAATTTATAAAAAAAAAAACTTTGGAGTACACACATACTCTTCAGAAAATAACACTTCTGAAAGAGGCTCTAAGAGTCAAAGATTGAATAAGGGAGCAGAATAACAAAAAAATCCAAACCTCAATGGAAACTGCAGAGATTAACCTTCATAGACTAATGAAATATTTGAATTTTCTAGTATATTGCTCTAGAAAAAAAAATCCCAGGGACCACCTTGTTTCAATTTTTCCTTTTTTACTCTACCTGCCCACACCAGGATGTATTCTTCCTCTCTAGTGATATTTGTTCTCCACAAATATCTGCCTATACAAAGCCCTCCTTGTGTTTTCACCAAGTTTGAGATCAGTGAATTACAAGTGAGGGCCAGCAGGAGCACAGTCTTAGCTTCTAGCATCCACATCTTTGAAATCTCAGAGCTCCTCATTAAATAAATTATTCTGTTGTCTGCAATCTCCAAACAATTCAGCTCTCTTGGGGATACATAGAAGAATTCAGAATGGTAAATATTTCAATCAGTTATATATTACAGATGTAGCACAGTGTGAAAGAAATCTATTTCCTCCAAGTAGAATCTTTCCCTCCTTTGGTTTGATTTCAAATTCACAATTGAATTCAAATTCTAACCAATGTGTAATTTCTTTAAAAAATCTACTTCAGGAAAATCTCTGTGATACACATCCATAGAAATGCTAGAGAGTTTTTGGACAATTTTGTGTCCACAATGTTATGAAGAGAGGAAAAAAAGACCTTTCTGTGAATTTTTTTCTCAATTTTAAAAATATTTGTAAATTTATTTTTTAAAATGTATCAGATAAAATCCTATGTGTTTTTAATGTACAACATGTTGGTTTGTATTTGGTACCAGGGATCGAACTTGGGACTTTGAACTTGTGAAGCAGCCCATGGAACCACTGAGCTAAATTCCTGGCCATGTACAAAGTGTTTGAAAGAAGCATTCTGAACTGGTTAAATGCAGAAAGTGAACATATCCATTACCTCCTATGTCTCTAATGTTTTCAGTCTTGTGATACTGCTCAGTTGAGAGTTCCTATGATTGGTATGTGCAAGAGGATCTGAGTAATATGCAATAAATAATGGAAGATTTATAAAACATTGGTTCAGTACAAGTGGAAAATTTTACCAAAGTTGTAGAGCATGGGAAATTCTGTACTTGTGAATTTGCAAGTATAAAACCTATGCAATCTGTTGCATGCCTACTTATTTATTTATTTTTCTATGTATTTTTTTCTTTTTTTCTCATTGAGTTTATTGGTATATTTTAGGTATACAATACAGTTAAATTCATTATTGGGATCTTGTACCTTTACATGACAGGTCTTGGTTCTCATTTTTTCCACTTGTCCCTGCCCTCCCTTCACCCCCTCCTCTCCACCCCATTTACAAACTTTCTATTTCCATTTTTTTTTATTTTTTTCTTTTCCCTTATTACCTTTCTCCTAACCTTCCCACTTTCCCTACACCTTTAGCCCTTTTCTTCTAATTTCACATTGTTAATTACATCTTACATACTATTATAGTTTATTCACACCAGAGAAACCATTTGGTATTTACACATGTATGACTTTTTTTTTCTTTTTCAACTAGCGTCCAAATACAGCTACCTGGAATCTAAGAGTTATTTTAGAATTCCATGTCACAAAACTCTCAAAGTATCCAGATCTCCAGCCCACCCTATTTTTGCTCTTCCTGTCCAAGTACCTTTTTACACTTCTTGGGAACCTGCTCATCATCCTGGCTGTCAGTTTAGAGTCCCAACTCCAAACACCCATGTACTTCTTTCTCTCCAATTTGTCTTTTACTGACATCTGTTTCATCTCCACCACTGTTCCAAAGATGATTGTGGATATTCAAAGTCACAGAGTGTCATTTACTTTTTTGGCTGCCTCACAAAAATGTTTCTGCTGATCCTTTTTACATGTATGGTTTAGAAGCTTCTGATGGTGATGGCTTATGACATGTTTGTGGCCATATGTTAATCCCAGTAGTATTCCTTTACTATGAACTTTCACCTCTGTGTCTTCTTAGTTTTCATATCTTTTTTTATTTAGCCTT